GCACCTCGACGGGCACCTCGACGGGCACCTCGACGGGCACCTCGACCTCCAGCGGCTCCTCGCGCACCAACAAGGCCGATGACGCCGGCGGCAGCGCCACGGCTTCGGCGCCGTCCGTCGCCGTGGCCGTCGTGGCCCTGGTCGTGAGCCTCGCCCTACGCAGACCCTGAGGCCTCGTCTCCATACCAGACCGGTCGACGCGATCCTCGACACTGCGCTCCGTGCGGCGATTGCTGTTTTATTTGCCGCCTCGTCGTCAGACCCGCCGTTTTAAGTCGCGCATCTTTCTTTGCGCTGGGCGTGATTTTGTGGGAAATGTTTGCTGCGAAGCGCTGGCTAAAAGAAAGTAACGTTCAATTACGTTTTTGTCGTTCCTATTCGTTATCGTTTAGTTCGCATAGAGCTGAAGAAATGTGAATCTGATAATACATCCCACCTCCTATAATGGAAGCTGCCTGTCAAATACGACATCAAAACGATATTGGGTCGTTTCGATATCCTTTTGAGAGTTGTTTCGCTCGGGGTGGGGGAAGGGACTTTTCCAGCGGGGCTGGGAATGATCTGTGTTGACCGATAATTAACGAGAATTGATTAGTTAGATTAGTTGTTATCTGTGATGTATTGCAATATTGCAAGTGAGATTTGATACGACGAGATCATTTTCATGTCAATTACATCGTGCTGACCATACGTCGCCGATGGGGAGTGTTGGCTGTTGTTTTGCAACGTCGTGATATGTTTATGGACGGTAGTTACCTGTGCCTTGAATATCTTATAAGTTTTTGCATGTCTACTATTGGCATGACATGTAAATATATTTTTAATCTCCATGGACTGTCGGTGTTATTTTTGTAATTAAAAGTGAAAATCACAACCGTTTGTTTCAAACACTTATTTATTTAAAAAGACAAACTATTGCCAGGTCTGCCTCATGGACGCAAATCCAGGTTTAAACAAATATTAATAAAAATCAAATCCCCTCTTGGGATAACAAACACAAACAACAAAAACAATAAAGGATGACGATGGTATTTACAGATGGCCTTAAAACGATGCAATAAGTACAGTCCAACAGAGATGCACGCCAGATAGATTCTCTTTTCCCTGTCTTTAATCTGGGTGCATTCTGACGCAGTCTTAACGTTAGTAGTAGGAAGGGTGCCGGTTGGGAGGGTTGACGGCTATCGGCCCGGGTCGCTCTCGAGTCACCTGCTGATGCAGAGGACGTTGTCGACTAAGAAGGAGCCGGCCAGGAAGACCAGCCGCAGCAGCGCGAGCAGCGTCACGCCCTGGGTGATCCGGTGCGCCCACCACAACCTGAACAGAAAAGTAATAATCAACGCAGGCGCGGTCTCGTGTGGCAGGATTCTAACTGCAGCATCGTTAGTTTGTTTTGCCGTTTCGACGCGTGTCCGACGTACTTGTTGAGCTTGCTGCGGGCCGCGGGCAGGGACTCGGCGCCGTCCTTGAGCACGTACTTGCGGATGCCCATCATGTAGTCGGCGACGTACGGCTTCCACTCCATGTGCGACACGTCCACGTCGAACGTTTCGCGGTCCGTCACGCAGTCCATGTCCTTCATGAGGGCCTTCATGTTGGAGCTCTCGAAGTCCCACTCGTGCAGCGAGAAGAACTCGCCCGTCTTGGCCGCCGCCTTGAAGCGCTGCGCGATCTTCACCATGCTGCAGTTGTTGGCAGAAAGGACCGTCAGTGGGGCGCAAATTATTTGCACAGAGCGGTGACAATCGTTACACACACAACAAAAACACACTTAAACAGACACATATTCAAATTTCGACAGTTCAAAACAAACCCTGGCCGTACATTGGTTTGCCGCCCTGCGCCCGGATGAGCAGGTCCACGACGTGGGCGGGCAGGAAGTGGAAGAAGATCTCGCAAAACTTGTGCACCGCCCGGTTGGTGCGGAAGCTAAAGCCCGGGTACCACTGCGCGTACTTGGTCGGGGTGTCGACGGCCTGGTTCTGCGTCAGGCGGCCGAACTCGTGCCAGTGCACCGGGTTCAACTGACCGCTCGTGCAGTTGTACACCTGCGCACAAGGATTGCTGGTTAAAACAATGACTACTGATGACAACCATACAACATTTTAATTTTAAGAGAATATATGAAAACGAGTAGTCATATACCACCTGATACTTTTTTGTTTGTTTGTCGGAAAGTAATTAAGAAAGTTTAGGTACAGTGCCATTTTATAATGCATATTTTTGTATTATTTTTTTTTGCTGTGTGACCTGCACGTTGTTGGCGTGGTGCGTGCCGGTGCGCCAGGCGGCCGTGATGAGGGTGTTGACGACTAGGTCGACCGGGATCAGGTCCACGATGTAGTCCTCCTCGCAGATGATGGACCGGATGGTGCCCCTGCCGATCTCCATCATGATGCCCGTGATGCCGCACACGTTGTCCACCCAGCCGGGCACCGGGTCCCGCAGCGCCCCCGTCACTGGATCAGACGGGATTTAGGAATTTTAAAGTCCGAAATATATCCGAAAATAACAGGCAATTTTTCCAGAAGAAAAAAAAATGGAAAAATTGTACTATTTCAAACAAATATTAAACAACTAAAACCGAAAACAATTCTTGAAACATTAAAAAAAAAAAACTTTTACGGATAACTAAAATCCTTGCATAGGATCACTGACGACATATCAGGATTCGCAACACTTTTCAAAATGAATCGAGGACGCCTCAGTTAAGTTCTCCTCGGCTCACCAATGGATGGGCGTACGATGGCGCAGGGGATGTTGTCGGCCTCCTCTTGCACGATCCACTCGGCCATGGCCTTGGTGAGCGTGTACGTGTTGGGGTGGCGCTTGCCCATGAGCGCGCTCGCCAGGCCCGGCATGGCGTCCTCGGGCAGGGACTTGACGAGCTTGATGACGGCCTCGGGGTCGGCGGGCGGCGCGTACACCACCTCGCGCACCTCGCGCTTGTCGGCGTTGGAGTAGGCCGTGGACACGTGCACCAGGGACTTGATGTGCAGCATCTCCTTGCACAGGCGCATGACGCGCTGCGTGCCCACCGTGTTGAGCGAGACGGCCGCGGCCAGGCCCTCGTTGAAGCGGACCGTGGCCGCCGAGTGGAACACGATGTTCACCTCGGTCTGCAGGCGGCGCCGGTCGCCCTCGCTGAGCCCGAGGTGCGGCAGGGAGACGTCGCCGGCCACGGGCCGCACCTTGCCGAACACGCCGGGGCCTTGCTCGGAGCGCAGCCGCTCGAACACCTGTGGGGGAGGAGAGCAAGTCCACGGTCATGTCTGGCGCACACGTGTCGCTGACTAGGGCTGTGCGATATCCAGATCTATCGCGATGCGATATTATTGACCTTTTATCGACATCGACTCGATAATATCGAGTGATATCGCAATATCGAACTATATCGACAGACGATGTGTGTAAAAATGGCCGATATATCGCGATATATCGTCATATCGAGCAACCTCGATATTTCGATATCGCGATGGATCGCGATATATATTAGTATCGAGCAACCTCAATATTTCGATATCGCGATATATCGCGATATATAGTAGTATCGATCAACCTCGATATTTCGATATCGATATTGGGATAATATCGAGCCATCGATATCGGACAATATTCTATCGAAATCGAAACATCGTGATATCGCACAGCCCTATCGCTGACTCGCGTGTGTGTTTGGCGCGTACCGGGTGCTGGAGGAGCTCGAGGTGCCTGCTCTCCACGTCCATGCCCTTCTTGGGCCGGATGAGGATGTAGACGGCGCGCATGTCCGGGCAGCAGCGGAGCAGCTTCTCGACCAGGGCCTTGCCGACGAAGCCCGTGGCGCCCGTCACCATGACGGTGGCGCCGGCGAAGAACTCCTGGACGGGCGAGGAGAGGGTGGCGCTCGCGCCGCCGTCCTCGGGGGCGGCCTCGCGGACGGGCGCGGGGGCGGCGCCCACGGCGTGGCCCTCCGCGGTCCAGGACTCGGCCTCGCTGGCCTCGACGGGGCCGGCGGCGGCGGCGGACGCGGTCTCCACGCCCATCGTGCAGCTAGGCTCGGTATCCCTGCAAAAGAAAGAGGGCAACGAGATCGTTAAAGCTGCGCTCTGGGACAACCCGGCGTCCACTCTCGGACTCCACCACCTGCAGATGTTGTCCAGGAAGAGTTGCAGGTGGTGCATCGCACCGACGACGTGCTCGGTGCGCTGCGGGCGCGTGCACGTCCCCGTCAGCGAAGGACAGCCTCTGACCAAGACCCTATTGATCCCGGGCGCCGCCGGCGACCGAGCGGCACGCGACACCACGGCGACAGTACGACAAGGCACGGCGGAGGGGTGGGGTCTAGTTATCGGAGCCACATTGGTTACAGGCCCGTTACAGGTCCTTTCGAGTTTTCTTTGAGTGCAAGAGAGAGAAAGAGAGAGAGATAGAAACAGAAGGGGGGGGGGGCACTGCACTGAACCGCTCTTGCTGTCTTCCCGGCGCCGTGGTCTTGCGACGTCGAGGAGCAGGCGACTACCGCGATGACGGGGCTACGCACATGCTTTTAAAAGTTTTTCTCAAGGTGGGGAACTTGAAAAATGGAAAGACAATGTAAGTTGCAACGATAAGGAAGAGAACTGATGAATTAATCGCGTATGATGGCGTTAGACTGTATCCACATCCACCGACAAACACAAATTGACTCGGAAGAAGATTACAGAAATCCGCAAATATGACATTTGTGATCCATATTGGTTTGAAACACCTGCTCAAAATATTAACGGGTAGAAATTGTTTATATTTTCTCTAATAGACTACGTCAAATTTACTCCCTAGAGCGTCAATACAGCAAGGGGCTCGAACTTTTGATGGGATCGACTGACTTGATGCGACTGCTCCGAGCAGTTGGTGCGCGACTGCCGGGCCCCGAGGGCGGTCCCAGAGAGAACAGATACATATACACCTATTTATGTTATCTCTGGGCGGCCCATTCGGGCGCGACTGCCATTCAGTCGCCTGCGACTGCCGGCTCAGGGCGTGGCGTAGGGCATAGGGGAGCGCAGTGCCACTTCAGCCTCGAATGTAGGCAACCCAACCAACGTTCCTCCACCATGTCAACCCGCTCGCTCTCTGGCCAGTCGGTGCCCGACTGGCGGCAGTCGCTGTCAGTCAGTCGGAACCCCCGAAAGTTCGAGCCTTGCAATAAATTGCACCGTTTAGAAAGATCAACCTCATGGCGTTGGAGGCACTGAATTTGTGTACGACCCCGAACGAGGCGAGAAACCCCTTGCTTCCGAATCCGAACCAGCGAAGTTCAGCCTGTCGCAAGCTCACACGGTGGCCACGGTGCCTTGCAGGTAGGCAACGTCTCGCCTGCAGCGCATCCGTGTACTGCGGGGTGGCCTACCCCGAGTTTCGCAGGCGGCGAGCTCCCGCACTTTGCCGAATGGATATCTGCACCCAGAAGACCGTTTAGTCCAGAGAACCAAATTCAAAACCGACGAAATTTTAGCTCTGGGGACCAAAATTTATCTGTGGTGATGAAATAATCTAGTCCAGCTGACAACTTGACTGATGCGACCATATTTAGTCAAAAATGGGGTTACTAAATTTTAGTCGGTTTTAGGAACTAAATTTCGTTTCTTACAACCCTGATTTAGTTTTACCAACTAAATGGTTCTCTGGGTGATGAGAAAGAAACGGGCGTACTTCCTGGCCGATGCGATCACTATGCGCGGCGGCCGAAGTGCGCGACATGAGCTGCTTCCCACGGCCCACGGCCCACGGCCCACGGCCCACGGCGACTGATCAACCCCCCTCTTCGCACGGTGAACGGTGCAGCAGTTAGTCACAAAGTACATACCATCGTTATGTACTTTGTGCAGTTAGTGCATCGCAAACTGCAACAGGTGTCGCTGCGGATCTATACTCTCCTACCGGGGCGTGACATCTATACCCCTCTCCACCCCCCCAGGGTATAAAAGCCCCAGGGGATTTATACCGCGAAATTTCACGCAGTTTTTATTTCAAGTTGACTTTCTGCGGACCGCGACTGAACTGTTGATTGTGAGTGTAGTTCGCAGGGAGTTGTTCTTGGCAAAATTCGTTTACCTGTAGTGTAAGTAAACAAGAAGTTTATGTATTCCGCCTTACCTTTTGGAGAATGTTATCCTGTGCCGCGCCCTCTCACATACACTCACACACAGAGACACTCGCGCGCGCACTCACTCTGTTCAATGTACCGCGTGGTGTTCCGTTCCGTTCCGCTGCGCTCCGTTCCCTACCGTTTCGTGCAAGAGACTGCGCCCGGGCGGAGCGGCGCGCCCGCGCTCGGCGGGGCCCTCGGGGCCAGCTGCAGGTGCAAGAGGGACGGGGCGCTCCTCGGCGGAGGGGGTGGAGAGGGGGAGAGGGTGGAGGGGGGCAGAAGGGCTGACCGGGCCAGGCCAATACGGAAGCGTGGATAACTGAGTCACACTGCCATCACTCGCTCAGTTGGCCTCCTTCGACGGCTCGGGCGCCGAGCGCCCCCGCTCCGTCGCGTCGACGACGGCGAACCCCTCCCCCACCGCGTCGTCGTCGTCGTCCTGGGCCGCGGGAGAAGGAGGCGGTGGCGGGGAAGGGCGCAGCGAAAGTTGTGTACCTACAGACCACGTGGTGCCGCGCGGAGGGCTCCCCCTCCCGCACGGCCGGGGGAGGGAGAGGGGGAGGGAGAGAGAGGGAGAGGAGAAGGGAGAGAGGGAGAGGGGGAGGCGGCCTATGACATAATCGTAGGGTGTTATGTAGTACGCCGGTATCCTTCCAGGTCGCCGTGGCGGGGCGGGGCGCGGCCCCCGGACTCCGTGGGGCCAGGCCGGGCCAGGCCCCTCTCCGGGAAGGGGGCCACACTCTACCTACACACCCGCCTCCCTGCAGCCTTGGGAGGCGGGGGAAGTGATCCCAGTGACCTTAACACCGATTGAGAAACGCGTCCGTCTAGGGTGGCCGGCCGGTCCGTCGCCCCGGCCTCGTACCCGCGAGCCGCGAGGGTTACCCGTCGGGAACCGGAATACATGCTGATGTGGACTTCCCTGGGCAATGAAAACGCGAACGGCCGCCCTGCCCGGTCCGCTGACGGGCGGGTTTATGGCAGTCCTCCCTATTATGGATAGTCCAGAAGGTGTCCCTTTGGAACAGTGACACCTTTACATGTAAAGGTGTCCTACGCTTTGTACTCACCACAATGTTTTCGACATATTTCTGTGTACGACTTGTATATGTCCAATAAAGGAGTGTAGGAAGCTTTGCTTGTTTCTCTGTTGAATGAACGCTGCTCCACAAGGAAAAGTACAATTCTTGTCCTTGATTTAAAATTACCGTTAACTTCTTCAAGTGCTAGAGAACTGAAGATACCCGCAGTACTTTCAGTATTTAGAGTCTTGTGTCCTCCCCCTAATAACACGAATTTTTGAAAATAATGATAACGACCCAAAAATTTTCATTATTTCAATAAGTTGGAGCAAAAATGCTTGTTGTTCTCTTCATCTGCAGCGAGTCGATCAAACTAGTTGAGGTGAAACGATCCATCGTTAACCTTCGCCTACCCCCTTGCGGAACGCTTACTCCACTTAACCGCGAGCCCTACCACAGCCATTCAACCCTTTTACCTGTTGACATCCGTTTCATCCACTTACCCTACTGCCGGCTGCCGGCAGACACTACTTACCCCACAGCCCTCTGTTTCCCCACACCCACACCCCACTTACTCCATATTCGACTCACCCTTTGTCGCCCGCTTACTACTCCCCGCTTGCCCGCGCGCGCTCTTCCGGTGCCCCACTTTTGGCCCACTTTTTGCCGGCCCGATGCTCCACTTTACCGTTTTGGTGACGGGCCGGCCTACCCCTGCCCGGTCAAGCAGGAGGAAACAAATCCGCGGCCGAACACGGACAGGCGCGGCCAACCGATTACGTGGAAACGGGTTCCTTGAATCCACCACGCGCTTGTGCAAGCGGCCCCGCCCCGCCCCGCCCGCCGCACCGTCTTACCGCATGTGGGGCGGTGGGTCCTGAGGACGCTGACACTGTTTGTTGCCGACTCACGCTCCTCCGGGAGGGGCCTCTGGCCTGACCTGGCGGAGCCGGGTTTTGTGGTGCATTGCCACGTTTATGGCCGCAAGCTTCACTCTCGCGAGGTAATCTCATGACGGACAGATAGTGAACTGGATCATTTTGCTTCGAGAGAAGTCTTGTCCCGCCTGAGACTCTCTGTCCTGAGACTTCCCTCCTATGGTCCTCCAGCGAGACGAGACGCTATACCAACTGACTGACTGCCCCGGCAGCGAGACCCATCCGAATCCCAGACGCGTTTAGGCTAGCTATTTTGGCGCCGCCACCGCCGTGAGTCAGCCCTCCTGAGAGTGGATCTCCAGGCTGTCCAGGCTGGCTGTCTCGGAGCTGCAGCAGTGACCCGAGCCAGACTACCATACGTCCTCGCCAGCCCCCCCC